GTAGACCTCCACTGTATATATTAACTAAGTTCCAAATTTGTAGTTTATTAATGATTATAATTTTTGTGCCTACTCAAAACAATGTGGCATTATCCTATTCTTTGTGTATAATGAAATTTGGAAGCTTGCCTCTCCCCTCCCCTCCCACAGGCATGCATGTGACAGATTATTACAGCTTGGTCATCCAATTTTGGTATGGACACATTGATCAAAAGAAATTGGTCAAGTCACAAGACAAGAGTCAGGGATGAGAAAGAATACCTCAAAGTGAGGGGGTTTGAGTACACTGACACTCACTCCTGAAATCCCCAGAAAACCCTTGGGATTTCAAAATTTTATTCCAGGACCCTGGAAAACTTCATGAAAATTCTTGTTTCCCACTTACTCCTAGGAATCTCCTGGAATTTTCAGTTGTAATGAAATTGCTAACTGGCAGCAGACGAGAAATAACGTTTAGAAAAACAAACAGTTTTAAGCTTGCAAAACATGTTTCGGATGACCAACATCCATCTTCAGTTGCAAATTATACAAATGAACAGCTAGTCGGTGTGACAAAAAGCGCACTTTCTTAGAATATATGAATACTAAATAGCAACATGAATATGAAGCACTAGAAAATACAGTGGTTAGAAAACAATGTGTATTGTAACACGGAAAATTAAAGTGAAAGTGTTAAATTAACATGATTGACTTGCTTGTTTAGTGAGGGTTTTTCCCACCAGATGTGTAAGGTGTCCTTGATTTTCAGTTGCAAATGCGCGGACGCGGTGTCAAAGAGTGAGAAGCAATTATCTGAGCACAGAGCTTTGTATGTTTCTGACTCACTGATGTGCTGAAAGATGTGCAAGTTCCTATCGGATGTTAGCTTGCGAACAGGCTCCTGGTGAGGACGGAAAAAATTTTGGCAAACGTGGAACAGAAGAATTTGGAAAGTAAAGTGATCGGGGCAGGGACAGGGGAGCCTGTTGACTTTGTCTTTGAAACCTCTAAAAAAATTGCTATAGCACTGCCAAACGGCTCCACTCCACTAGCTTCTACTTAAAATTCCTCCTCATAACAGAGCATTAAGTACCCTTCAGAATCATTTGTGAAATAACGAGAGGTCAAGAGACTGCAACTTAAAAAGAGAATGGCAAATGCACTATTGTAACGAACCGTTGGAGTCGCATAATTTTCAAAGATCTGTCAAATATTCATCTCAAAGATGTCAACAATCAGCGATTTAACCAATCATATCATGATACCAGGATCTGGTATCATAGAACAGCGGCATCAATAGAATGTCTACAGGCTTCTTCGCTTTGTTCGGGCTCACTGGGAGCCTGTTTGCAGGCTAATCGGATGTTAATGTTAAATGTTTAACAATTTCATTTTAATTTTCCGTGTTACAAAACACATTGTTTTCTAACCATTGTATTTTCTAGTGCTTCATATTCATGTTGTTATTTAGTATTCATATATTCTATGAAAGTTTGCCTTTATATCACACTGACTAGCTGTTTATTTGTATTTGTAACTGAAGATGGATGTTGGTCACCCGAAACATGTTTTGCAAACTTAAAACTGTGTGTGTAGTGAAATTGCTTTTGAATGTGAGTATGTGTATCATGTATTATTTGTTGTGGTAAATAGCCAGCTACAGTACTTGATGAATAAACAATAAATTCTGTGTTTCATTGTCCAGCACCATGCTGAAGTATTCCTCGGGGCAATGGATACAACCTTCCTCTTGGCCTATGCTGTGGTAAGCTATGTACATGTAGATCTTTGTCAATACATTATATTAATTAATACGAAAATGGTGGAAGGGGGTTATCTTTGTAGTTAGCTTTTATACTGCAGTTAACGAGGAATTTATGAGAAGCTTTAAAGCCAAAAAAGAAAGGAATGCAATTATGTGGCATCAAAGTACAAGACATGACATGGTAAATTAAACAACCGTAAGAAACATCTGGTCCCTGGCCTCAAATGAAATCTCTGTACACATTGATTTTGTAATGTTATCATATTTTGCTCTTTGCCATTTGGAGAATTTCCCTATCTTGTGATAGGGTGATTTTTGTGAAACTCAGAAAACTGTGAACACTAGAAATACTTGTGGAATGTTGTTGTATGGTGAGGAAATAGCCAATTAGGTGTGAGAAAACAAACTGCAAACAGCAATGGTAATTAGTTTGTTGTTTTGAGGTTTCTTCTCATCTCCTGAACTTTATTGTGATCAGTCAAATGTACACAGTTGACCTGTCAGAATCAAATCAAAGTGTTCATGGTTTTCTGAGTTTCACAGTAAATCAAGGGAGCGGCGAAATGTTGGTAACACCTCCTTGTAAGTAAATAGTACATGTATTAGAAAACAGACCTAAGAAAATTTGCGGCCTGATTGGTGAAAAACCATTTTTCTATAACTCGATAGAAACACAGAACTAGCACAAGCTGTTGATGTGATGATGGCGTGAGCAAAGAGAATTTACATTTTGATAATCAAAGTTAACAAGTTGTTTTCCTTTTTTTTGTCGTGGTGTTTTCTAAAAGAAATGGAAAACATGTTTTCAGTGTTTCTATCGACTAATGGAAACACTCGGCTCGTGTTCCCACAGCATTTCTTGTTCTCCCAAACTTCCACTCATGTTTCTATAACTCGATAGAAACATGGTACATGTTTCCTATTTCTTAAATAGTAAGTATAGTATATGCATTTGTAAACTGTGTGTACCTGAATTGATTATTAGGTCATCAGTTGCCAGCTTCCTATTTAACTGTGATTGCAGTAGATAGTGTTTAACAGACGTGTTATTGTGGTATTTGCTATGATATATTCATTGTGTGACAGGAGACATATTCTCTTTTTCTCAAGGGCTTGTACATCAGTGGTATCTTGGGTGATAGGTATGTGAATGTTTCAGTCATGACATGGCCATGAAGTTATTTTCTCAAACTCATTAATGATTCATCAAGTTTAAACAAAGGAAGTCATGACCGTGATGGTGTTTGGATATCTTATCTTAATTAGCATAGATTTTACGATTTTATTTCCCCGTTTTCTCCTTAGTTTTAGTTTTGACTGAGAAGATATATCGAACACTCAAGACAGTGTTTGACCACATTTCCAAACACCTCAAAGTTCGTCAAAAATACTCCGCTACACGTCGTATTCTCAACTCTCTTCTCGGTGTTTGGAAATGTGGTCGAACATAGTCTTTCGTGTTTGATATATTACATCAAACATCTCTTGCTGAGTCTTGGCTACATTTGGGCAAAACTCACTTTCTTTTTGTATTCATTTAATCATACCTATTGGACTGTATACATGCACAGTAACTATTTTTTTTAATATAATTTTTTGTTTTGAATGTTCTTTGTCCTGAGACGATTGAGATACCAAAATTTAATGTGGTGTGATTCAGTGCACGATGATTTCTAACCTCACCTCATGCTTGGTCGGAAAACCATATTTCTTGTATTCAGTGCTTGTAAAATGCCAGCAAAACATCATTTTTCTTGTTTTGAAAAAATCACAAAAATACTGAAAGTTGATGTCACAAAAAATTCAGGCAAGGTATTTTATTGGCACACTGTAATTCTGTAATTTCTACTTGTACTTTACATAGGTTTAACCTGAGAAAAGTACTAGCATTTGGAATGTGTTCTTCTGCAGTTATGGTAAGTTATATACAATCCTATGAAAGCTTTCCTGATAGGAAAAAACAATAATCTCTACGTGAAGTTTGGTAAGGTGATTGTAGGTGCGGTGGGCTCATGGTTAGTGTGCTTGCCTCCAGATCAAGCAGTCTGTGTTTGAGTTCTGGCCAGGGGCATTATACATACATGTATTGTGTTGTGTTTTTGGGCAAGGCAGTTTACTCTCACAGTGCAGGTCTCTCTCCACCCGTGTATTTAAATTTAATGCTGGTGGGTAACCCTGTGATGGCCTAGCATCCCATCCAGGAGGGAGTAGAAATACCTTTAGTTGCATTATGCTACTGAAACTGGAGACAAGTGTTGGCCTGATGAGCCACTCTGCTCATGTGCAGACTTTGTACTTGAACAGCAAACAAGGCCACATTGTCAGAGCTAATCAGAATATACTTTGCTTGTTTCTGTAGCGTAAAGCTACCAGGAGCTAAGTGTTAATTCTCCTTGGATGCTATGCCATATGTACTCTACAGGGCAGGAAAAGACCCAGGTCCGATTGCCTGGAGCAAGTAAATTTTGCTCTTGGGCAAATGAAAATGGAAGTTTGGTGGTCTAATGGGCAAGTGAAAGTAGCCACAGTAGTCTTGTTATAGTCTATCACTGATTATAGACAGTAGCTAGTAAATGATGCAATTGATATGGCATAACAATGTGTGCCTATTGAGTGAGTGATATTTTAGTGGGTGTAACTGAAAACTGAAATTTACTGGCCCACTAGGCAACTGGATTTCAAATTTTTTTCCTGCCCTGGATTCTTTCAGGGGTAAGCCCTGGGTAGCAAGTGGCAGGTAGTGAACATTACATGGCACGGGAGAGTAGAAATTTGATTGTGTAATGCAAGAAGTTGAGAAAGTGCAAAGCACCATCCAGATGAGTGAGAGGGAATATCCACAATGGCAGTACTGATTTTGTTTTTGTCAAAATTATCCTGGAATTAGAACAAGGCTGACTTTTGTACTGTCTGGGGGAACCTGAGGATATGGGGCAACATATCTCTTTACATTACCTTAAAATACATGACTTTATAATACAATGTATGGCAAATAGTCCTGAGGCAACGTGGCCGAGTGGTTAGAGTACCAGATCTGAAATCCGTAGGTCCGGGGTTCAAATCCCGTTCTGACTGCTAGCTGATGTTCCCTGTAGCTGTGAGTTCAACTTCTCGGCTAGGCTTGTAAATAGCCAACTGGTCTGCCTCCTGCCAGTTGGGATTCTAAACCTAGTTATGTTTATTTGAATATTTATTTATCATTGTTTGTTTACATTGCTCCTGAAAAGCCCCAATGGGGAGTGGCCAATTAAGAATACATTTTTACATTCAAAGCATTTTGATTGGTTCTTTCTTGGTTGAGGTTTTGCCTTATGGACCATTTCCATAGAAACGGTTATAAGCCATTTATTTTTTCTTTGTGAATGTGGGCAAATTCAATATACAAGCATGGTCCAAGTGCCATATAATAAACTACTTACTAACCTACAGTACCACTCAAAAGTACATGGAGCTTGCTTGAGTCATATTGGGGAATATTGGCCCTCAGTCAAAATTTGTACACTTCAGACCTTGCTCAGCCCAGCTTTACTGTCTGACCTTGCGCCAATATTCCACAGTATTGCCCTCATGCCCGATTAGTAAGAGGGTATAACTATCCCTGTGTTGGCTTGTTGCAGGTGATAATGTTTGGAAGTGTGAGCAAGTGGATTGGAGTTTACAACATTTGGTATTATGGAGTATTTATGGCACTAAATGGTGAGATATTCTTGCCAGTCATTGATAATGCTATGCTAGTTTAACTTTGCCGCACAGTGAAACACTAGTTTGTAACCAACTTGGTTGCAAAAAATATGAAAAATTAGAGGAACCTTGTGGTTTGAAGGTTTCTTAAAACACTGTGCACACTGCATGACTGGAACAGACTCATCCACAAACTTTTGCTATTGCATGAACATTTAGTGGCACCCATAAATCACTATTGCTTGGTTTCTTTCCTTGGAAAGCAAAGATTGTGTAGTTCAGCTCCACAGCTTTAGTTATTATGCATTTTTGTGCCACTTTTTTG